AAAAACAGTATTGACGAATACGACGACCGACGGAACGCGTTTCGGAGCGAACGAAACCTGGAGACGCGCGGACCTGGACGAAAAGACCCGTCAAGGTCATATATAGTGTCGAGAACGCGCGGAAAGAGGTCTCGAAAGGCCGGAAACCGGGCGAAAAGCGGAAAAACGGTTTTAAAACAATAATAATGAGGCTGACTAATGAGCAATGAGCGATAACGAACGGATACCACATTTCGGCGCGTTGAGAAACTGATAACACGGGGAGATGGGACACAACGATGGAAGAAAACGGAATTTTGTTGGTCGGGACACTAAAGTGCCCGGTGTTCTGGCGGATTTTCGGGAAGTCTTGTTTTGGTTTTTATTATAAGATACAGAACTCGTATCGGGGTACTGATGAGAGGGTCCACACGGATAAATGAAATCACGGTCGACCGAGACTTTATAATAATAAATTTTATTTAATTATACATGAAATACTAGGTACAATTTTATAATAATGAAATTTAAATATTTTGATTCTAATTGTAATTAGAATATACATAAGTAAATCGGTATACATACAATAATGTTCATAATACATCCATAATATTGTATACCTACAAATAAGTTATTAGGCTTTAAAATATGAGTTATCGTCAAAATGTCATTAATAATGATTGGTCGATATCGAGTATTAGTCTTAAAATGTTCGAATAGTACGGGCACGGTTAATCGCAACAGGATAATTGAGTCACGGATAATCGATGTTCTACTGTAAGGTATATTACAGTCGGCACGTTATCTGTAGCCCCCGCGTCGGCTGCACGATATTAATTAGCACGGCCGCCGTAAATTTTTGTCTTCTGCCATACGTCGTCGCGCAAAGACCAAACGGCCATTATTATATTATATTATTTTATTTTTTATTATATTTTGTGCGCTAATCGCCAACCTTTTATATATATATAAATATATTTAAATATTTTTATACATTTTTATATTTATTTTGCTTGTTTTATTTGTTGTGTGTGAAATGTATTGATTATTATAGCCATATTTAGGACCAGCTGGCCAGTCTGCGCTCCACAAATTGTGAATTTTTATTATTACAATTATAATTATATTATTTATTAAATTTTCATACTTTTGAGCCAAAAGGGCCAAATATCATTATTATTATATTTATATTATAGCTCTAATAGCTACCTATATTGTTTTTATATTTGATATTATTTTATATTGTTGGGCCAAAAGGGCCGTAACTTATTTAATATATTATCACTTCATATTTTTATATATATTTTTTCATTTACCGTAACAAAGTTACCTGATTGTCCTTATTTTTTAAGTCATACACACAAACATATATACACATAGACACACACCACCCACACACTAGCACTCACAGGATTTGCTCGGCGAACCTGTCCACTTCCTGTTGAGTGCTATACACATATATACACACATACACAGGTCGGTCGGTGTGTGACCGTATAACAGCGTAATAATATTTGGTGACCGGGCGCGCACGCCGCACACTTATTATTAGATGCTCCCGGCCCGTACAAGTATGATACTCAAGGCAGTTAACAAGTTAAATAACCTAGAATAATGATTTTAATTTTTTTTTATAAAAAATATTATAATAAAATATTATTAATTGGTACTTTAAATTGTTTAAGTATATTGTTGTATCTTGTATATAAATATGATAATATGCAAATAATATTAAATCGACCTACCGGCTATCGTATTAATGCAAACAGTATATAAATATAATATAAAATATTCAATTCCCTAAGCCGGCAAACCGTCTCCGCTCAAGATCGTTTTTCTTATACAATGATACGATTATAACTTATAAGTTATATCTGTATGCGCGCCAGTAGTGAATGGTGGTGATTTATTATAATAGTAAAATAAACACAATAATATAAAAGAATAATAATAATAATAATAACATCAATTTAGTTTTCCCGGTCACAATGACACGGCAGACGCAATTATAACAAAATACTAGCGCAATAGTAAACAAATTATAGATTAAGATTATGTCGCCGCATTGGCAACAACGAACAAAAAAAAGAAATGCTGCACAATTGCTTCAATAGCAAGAAAAAAATTTTTTTTTTTTTTTTTAGTTACGGCCCTTAAGACCATCCTGAAAACACTAAACTTTGCCACCTATCCCTGTCCTCCGCTACTTCTCTCTACTTGACACTAGGCTCTATCTTTTCCACTTCTTTCTTCACACCATCTTCCCATCTTAACTTAGGTCTACCTAGTGGTCTTTTTCCATTAGGCTCCTCTTCGATCACCCATTTTACTAAAGCACCCTGTTTGCGCCAAGCATGTCCTGTCCAACTTAGTTTCCGCTTGGTGATCTCTCTAACTATATTCGGCCTCTGGAAAAGTCCTTGGAGTTCCACGTTATGAAGTTTTCTCCATTCATTCGTTTGTCTATCGTATATGGGGCCAAAAATTTTCCGTAGAACTTTTCTCTCGAATATCATTAATCTTGATTCTTCTGTTTTTCTCAGCGCCCAGGTTTCTGAGCCGTAAAGAACAATTGGTCTTAGTAGAGTCATGTACATTTTGATTTTTAGGGCTTAAGATAAGGCCTTCGATTTCAAGACTTTTTCGAGTCCATAATATCCTCTATTCGCTAGTTGTATCCTTGTTGACACCTCTGTCTTGATGTCGTTATCCTCCGATATCATCGACCCTAGATACTTAAATTGAGACACTCTTTTGAACTTGAGTTCTTCAATTTTGATATATTGTTCCAGACCGCCATTTCTATTTCTTCGGCTAGCCACAAGGTACTCTGTTTTTTCCTCATTAACGGTTAGGCCCACTTTTTTTGCCGTATTTATTAGATTACTTCCCAATTTCTTTATCATATCTAAATCTTCACCAAGGAGAGCGATATCATCCGCATATGCTAGCATTCCAATTCTGATCTGTCCTAATATAACTCCTTCCGAAACGTTCATCTCACGTATTACCCTCTCCAGTACTAAATTAAACAGCACTGGAGACAAAGCATCCCCTTGCCGAAGTCCTGTCGTTACTCTAGTTGGCTGCGATGTTACGCTACCTATCTTGACCTGTATATCTGTATGATTGAGACTGGCTCCAATGAGATTAATAATTTTCCTGGGGAATTTGAAATCTTTGAGAATGTTTAAAAGACTTTCTCTATGTATAGAGTCATAAGCTTTTCTGAAATCCACAAATAACAAATGTACCTCCTTGTCAAATTCCAAATGTTTTTGGATGATTTGTCTTAGAATGAACATTTGGTCAGTTGTGGATCTATTGGTCCTAAACCCACCCTGGTAGTCACCTATTATATTTTCGGCCTTGGGTACTACTCTATCAAGTAGACAATATGATAAGACTTTATATGCCGTATCTAATAAAGCAATACCTCTGTAGTTACTGCATTTTTGCGGGTCTCCTTTTTTAAAAATCGGGCAGATCAACGCTGTACCCCAGTCTTTGGGTAGTTGCTCCTCAGACCATAAATTTTCGATGATATCATGTATTCTATTTATTGCTACCTCATCCAGATTTTTTAGAATTTCTCCCTGAATTCCATCTTCTCCCGGTGTTTTATTGTTTTTTAATCTATTTAATTGGTTTACTACCTCTATCCTACTAGGAGGAGGGCATTCACTGTCGTTAGGGTCAGATGATATCCATGTGAAAGTTTCAGGAGGGCCCTCACAGTTAAGCAGTTGGTCAAAATACTCTCTCCATTTTTCTATAATCTTGTCTTGTTCCGTAATTATGGAGCCATCCTCATTTTTTAAGAATCTTTCATGTTTTTTGTACCCACCCCTAATTGCATTAATCTTCTGATACAGCTCACGAGTTTTGTTAACTCTATGGTTGGTCTCGGCTTCCCACAGTATATCTTTCGTGTATTTACGTTTTTCGGATCTAAAAATATTACTCGCCTCTTTTTGGCGTTCTTTATACGTAAATTCTTTTTCTCTATTGGTGGGGTCATTGATCCATAGTAGTCTAGCTTTTTTCCTTCTGTTAAGTGCTTCTTCACAAGAAGTGTTGAACCAAGGTTTCTTGACAAAGGTACTGTTGCGTACCTGGTAGTGTGCGTCTTCCTATAAATATTTTTCTTATCAATTATATTACCGCGACGATCTACGGGCGCGTTATCGATTACGTAGACGTCGGCAGTTCGTGCAAATAATACGGAGAGCACACTACAAGGTGCGCCACGCGTCTTCCGTGCAGTTTTGTGAAAGTCATATTATATTCTCTAAATATTAATTATTTGAACTATTATTAATTATTATATTTCGGAGTACAGTCCACATGTATACGGATGGTTGCGTTTTTCTTAATTTATATCTTTATTGGTGATCTTTGCTTACCACGTCCCATCATTTGGTCCATTCGCGCCGGATTCGTTGAATAATTTTCGTGCGTCAACGTGGTTTAAAAGCAACGTGAAGTTTTATTTTATTTTTTTATAGTTTGTCTTATTTGCTGTTAAATAAGCTAGCTATAATATAGCGTTTTAGTGCGTTTTGTACGGGTTAGGATCATCGTTGATCTATTGATCGTCGTAACTCGAGCAACCTCAAGTTTCATAAGGTCAGCCAACCAGTACACCATTGATTGTCTCTCGAGAAGAACTAAGAAGACCAGTACACAGATCCAGATCGAGAAGTCGGGTAAGAGTTTAGCCTATTTCCATTTGTTATATCTTTTCCTAAAATAAAGAATAAAATTCCCGAAAATTAGGTAGGCTAGCGTAGGGCACAGTACAACATTGTCAATACTCTATACAATATAATATCATATAATAGACATTTGACTTTCGGCGCGCTTATCTGTATATTTCGATTGCTGATTAAATTCATCGATACAATAAAAATAAATTGTCGCCGTCGCGGTCGTACGGTCGTTAACGTGCTTAATATTATTATACCTAATATTATATTTATTAGTTTTTATTACGCGATTGTATACGGCGTTATCGAGCGATGGACGATGTTAGCGTATTGATCGCGCGACGCGGTCAAATAAAAGCCGTCTTAACGCGATTTCAAAGTTACATCGGGTCATCTGAATACGATATAAATCAAATCGTACTGCGGCGTAAGAAGGTCGAAGATGCATGGGATAATTTTGAACGTGTACAGGCGAAAATTGAAGAGTTGGATAGTGCAAATGGTACAGATAATTCAGGATATAGAGAAGAATTCGAAAATGCGTATTTTGAGGTGATCGCGAAAGCCGAGCAAATGACGAATTCCGCTAGTTCGAGCTTCGGAATAAATACGAACGAACAAAGGGAAGGATCCCCGCAAACATCCTCGTGTGTAGGGAGCATCCAGTCGGCGTCGTCATCGATAAAGCTGGCAGCGCTAAATATACCGGTTTTCAGCGGTGATTACGCAGAGTGGACGTCGTTTCACGATATTTTTGTTGCGCTTATCCATACGAATATTAACTTATCACCGATACAAAAATTTTTCTATTTACGTTCCTCTTTAACCAACGAACCTGCAAATTGTATTAAGAATCTCGAAACAACAGCCAATAATTATGAGCACGCTTGGAAAACGTTAATAACAAGATATAGAAACGAAAAATTATTAGTTCAGTCTCACGTCAAGGGGATATGTGAGTTAGGTGACGTAAAAGAAAATTCGTCGAACAGTTTAAGGCAATTTTCCGACACGCTACGTGGTCATATATCTGCTTTAGAAGCGCTGAAACAGCAGCCATGTGACTGGGGCCCATTGCTCGCACATATTATTTGTACGAAATTGGATGCTATCACTTTAAGTGAATGGGAAACGAAGTCCTCAAAAAGCGAAATTTCCAAGGTGGCAGATTTAATATTATTTTTAGATGCGCGCGCACAAGTTTTGGAAGCAATCGAGTCGTCAAGAAACATTTCTAAAATCGGTGATCTTGTTCCGGAAAACAAAAATGATAATCGAAAAAATAAAATTAACAAAAACAATAGCGCTTCCACTTCTTTAGTCTCTATGTCAGAGATAAAATGTTATGCGTGCGATTTGTCACATACGATCTACAAATGCCCTTCATTTTTATCATTAGCGGTAGCCGATCGAATAAAAAGGGTCAACGAACTAGGACTCTGCAAGGTATGTTTGCGCAAACACGACGTTAAACGCTGTCTGTCGCGTAACAATTGTTATAAATGTCATAAAGCACACAATACATTACTACATTTAATTATTCCACAAAAATATAATGAAAAAAAATCGAATGAGACTTTAAATCAACAGGCAGTAAGTACGTCGACTAGCGCGCACGCGTCGAGCATCGACCACGAGAACGTAATTCTATCAACGGCCGTCGTGCGAGCGATAGGAAAGTGCGCAATATCAATATTATGTCGATCATTATTGGACTCGGGATCACAAAGCAATTTTATAACGGAAGAAATAGTTCAAGCTTTGAAATTAAAAAAAATAAAGACGACTCATCAAGTAAACGGTATAGGTTCCGTAACGCAACACGTGCATTCGTACGTACACGCACGCTTCGAGTCCCGTTTTAGTGACTACAATTTTTCATTAAAAATGTTAGTAGTTCCAAAAATTACGGGTGATTTACCGACAAAAAATATAACCAATTTATGTGGTATACCGGAAAATATTAAGTTAGCCGATCCGTCATTCCAAGTTCCACAGAAGATAGACATTTTAATTGGCGCTACACACTTTTACGACTTATTGGGTGATCAAAAAATAAAACCGCATTGTAACGGCCCGATATTTCAAGAAACAAAATTAGGCTGGGTTGTATCGGGGCCGGTGTCGAGTTTAGAACGTAAAACTGAAACGACAATAATTAGTACCGCACATCATGCTACATCGACACACACAGAGCCAATATTAGAAAATATTTTACCATGTTTTTGGCGTATGGAAGAAGTCAAAATCGATACTCCATTCACCACGGAAGAAAAAATATGTAAAAAATATTTTGACGACACTGTGGCGCGCGGTAAGGACGGACGCTTCATTGTACACCTACCATTTCGTAATAATAATTTAAAAATAGGAAATTCATATAATATCGCCAAACGTCGTTTTTTATCTTTGGAGCGGCGACTTGAAAATAACACAGAGTTAAAAAATGAATATGTTAAATTCATTAATGAATATAAAGAGCTAGGACACTTGGAACAAATATTCGACGACCAATATGTCAATAATGTTAATACGTGTTATTTGCCGCATCACGCAGTGGTGAAAGAGTCTAGCACATCGACGCGGGTGCGAGTAGTCTTCGACGCGTCGTGTAAATCCGATAACGGCGTAAGTCTAAATGACTTGTTATTAAAAGGTCCAGTTCTTCAAGATGATTTGTTATTCATTCTCACACGATTTCGTACACATAACTATGTCTTATCAGCCGATATCATAAAAATGTACCGACAGTTTTGGATAACGGATGAACATCGTAGTTTTCAACGGATACTATGGCGAGAGGATCCAAACGAGCCAATTAAAATATTTCAATTAAAAACTATTACGTACGGAACAGTACCCGCATCGTTTTTAGCGACCGGTTGTCTTGGTAAATTAGCGGAAATGATACACAACACGAAACCCGAAGTTTCTGCCGCGATAGTCCGTGATTTTTATATGGACGATTTTCTAGGAGGCGCCGACACGTTAGAAGCAGCGATGCAACTACGGGACGGACTCATCGAGGTTTTAGGTTCGGCGGGATTAAAATTACAAAAATGGTCATCAAATAATATTAATTTGATTTCGGACCTATCGACCGATGTAAATAACTATGGTAAAAATATCGCCACACACGAAAATATTGATAATGCGATAACCAAAATACTCGGACTATATTGGAGTTCTAATGCGGATACGTTACAATTCGAAGTACACGAAAAACACCTCAAAAATAGTGAACAAAGTACGAAGCGCGAAATACTGTCAAAAATAGCGTGTTTATTCGACCCACTTGGATTGATCGGACCAGCTATTATTCGCGCTAAATTAATTTTACAACAGCTATGGCTGTTGAAAGTGCAATGGGACGAACCACTTCCAACAAGTATTCAGAACGAATGGAAAGCTTATAGAACGTCATTAATATCATTAAATAATTTAGTTGTGCCCCGTAAAATAATGGGCGATGGCAAAATAATCAATGTTCAAATTCATGGTTTCGCCGACGCAAGCATAGAAGCATACGGGTGTTGCTTATTTTTACGAAGCACTAACTCAGATGGCGTACATACGTCCAAGTTAATATGCGCAAAGTCGAAAGTCGCGCCACTCAAGGTCGTATCACTACCTCGCTTAGAGTTATGCGCCGCGGTACTACTGGCGAGATTAGCAAACAGAGTCATCCCAAAAATGCAATTAGGCGTCACCAAAAATTATTTTTGGTCCGACTCAAACATAGTGCTAGCGTGGATATCGTCTCAGTCGACAAGGTGGCGTACGTTCGTTGCCCATAGAGTGGGAGAAATACAAGAAAAAACATCGGTAGCCGATTGGGCTCATGTTGATACGAAAGACAATCCAGCGGACATTATTTCTAGAGGTTGTTGTCCGTCAAAATTAACCAACATGCCGTTGTGGTGGTACGGTCCCGATTGGTTAATAAAAGACGAAAAAGATTGGCCCAAATCAAATGAAAACGAAAAAGATTTAAATATAGAAATACCTGAAGCTCGGTCAGTGACCTTGTCTGCCGTCGACGTAATGCCGCAATATCCGTCATTGATAAACCGGTTTTCATGCGTAAATAAATTAATACGTATCGTAGCATACTGTTTACGTTTCGTTTATAATAGCTCGCGTAAAAATTCAAAACTCGACGGCGTACTTAGTGTGGAAGAAGTAAATAGGGCACGAACATCAATAATAAAATGTATACAAAAGGAAGCATTTTCACAAGAAATTAGAGATTTGACCAATTTAAACAAAATAGCGGTATCAAGCAAATTGTTTCCACTATGTCCGTTTTTAGACGAAGATAATGTTTTACGTGTAGGGGGAAGACTGAGAAATGCCACTACGTTAGACGTACAGCAACGTTATCCAATCGTGTTGCCGGCGAAGTGTCATTTTACACGATTAATATTTAAGTACGAACATGAGCGATGCATGCACGGCGGTCCGCAGGCAACACTATGTTCGGTACGATCGAGATACTGGCCATTAAACGGACGAAATTTAGCCAGAAGTATAATACACGAATGCATAACGTGTTATCGTTATAAACCGGTAGTCGTACAGCCAATTATGGGTAATTTACCCATGGAACGAGTAGAACCGACGCGCGCATTTTTACGTTGTGGTATTGATTATGCTGGTCCTTTTATGATTAAAACAAGTATGCGCCGAAATGCTCCATTAGTAAAAGGGTATGTATGTATTTTTGTTTGCTTTTCAACAAAAGCAGTACACATCGAATTAGTCGGAGATCTGAGTACAACAGCATTTATCAACGCACTAAATCGATTTTTTGATCGACGAGGAAGAAGCACAACTATTTTTACCGATAACGCGACTAATTTTGTTGGAGCAAACCGTAAAATGAAGGAATGGAGCGATCTATTTAACTCGGAACAACATAAAAAAAAGGTACAAGAAGCTTTAACAGACGTTGGTGTTCAATGGCGTTTTATACCCCCGCGGTCGCCGCACTTTGGCGGATTATGGGAGGCAGCCGTCAAGTCGATGAAGCATTTACTACAGAAAACTGTAGGAAACGCTCACTTACTTTTTGAGGAACTTAGTACTGTGCTCACGCGCGCCGAAGCCTGCCTAAATTCTCGACCTATTACTCCTATGTCATGTGACCCAAATGACATATCCTTTTTGACCCCAGGTCATTTCCTTATAGGCGACTCACTCTTATCTATACCAGAACCCGACTTGTCAAATATACCGACAAGTCGCTTGACGCGATGGCGAAAGGTAACACAATACTCGCGAACTATTTGGCAAAAATGGAGTCGTGAGTACTTGAATCAGCTCCAAGAGAGAAAGAGGTGGGCTGGTGCCAAGGGACCTAAACTAGAAGTGGGCACTGTAGTATTAATACGAGAAGATAACATCCCTCCGTTAAAATGGCGTTTAGGTCGAGTTATAAAAATTACTGCTGGCAGTGACGGGGTGGTGCGAGTCGCTGAAGTCCGCACGTCGACAGGTCAGTTTACACGGGCAGTTCGAACATTGTGTCCTTTGCCATTTAAGGGAAATAATATAGATTAGCTATTTGAAAATTTTGTCCATATGCTTAAATGTTATTGTTAAATTTAGAATCTATGTATATTAATTATTACGAAATGTATTTATTGTAAAATTGTAATATTATTATTATTATTTTTGTTTATAATTATTATTTATTATTTTGGATTGAAATCAATGTTTCAAGGCGGGCGGCATGTTGCGTACCTGGTAGTGTGCGTCTTCCTATAAATATTTTTCTTATCAATTATATTACCGCGACGATCTACGGGCGCGTTATCGATTACGTAGACGTCGGCAGTTCGTGCATAATACGGAGAGCACACTACAAGGTGCGCCACGCGTCTTCCGTGCAGTTTTGTGAAAGTCATATTATATTCTCTAAATATTAATTATTGAACTATTATTAATTATTATATTTCGGAGTACAGTCCACATGTATACGGATGGTTGCGTTTTCTTAATTTATATCTTTATTGATCTTTGCTTACCACGTCCCATCAGGTACCTTGGATCTTCAAGACACGACTATATTCTACGGGGAATGTAATGATCGAAGACAATTTGGAACGGGTTTTGCTGTACACAAAAGTATAGTTCCTTTGGTTACAGAATTTAAAAGTACTAACCCTAGGATATCAATATTGACGATTAAAGGGAAATTTTTTGATATCACTTTCCTGAATGGACACGCACCTACGGAGGAAAAAACACCAGAAGAAAAGGATGAATTTTATGAGAATCTGGAACAAGCCCTAAATGAAATCCCCCGAAATAGAATAAGGATAGTCTTAGGCGATTTTAATGCCAAATTGGGAAAGGAAAACATATTCAAATCAACCATTGGTAATCATAGCATGCATGACATAACTAGTGAAAACGGACTTAGACTTATCGACTTTGCGAGTGGGGGAGGACTTGTTGTGAAAAGCACAATGTTCCCACGCAAAGATATCTACAAGGGGACTTGGAAAGCGCCTAATGGTAGATACACTAATCAAATAGACCATGTTATGATAAACACAAGGTTTAAAAACTGTATACAGGAGGTGAAAACAGTCAGAGGAGCCGACTGTGATTCGGACCACTACCTGGTAAAAGGAAAACTAAATGTGAAACTAAAAAATTGGGAGTTAGGAAAGGTACAATGGTGGACAGATATGAAGTAAGTAAATTTAAGGACAAAACTGTATGTGACCTTTTCAAACAACGGACGAATGAAGCAATGTCTAACCTACACATAAATCAATTAGATACGATTGACGGCAAATGGAAGGCAATAAAGGAAACCTTAAAAATGGTTACGGATATGACCATAGGGAAACAAAAAAAAGTAAGAAAAAAATTATGACCACAAAATGGTTGAATATACGTATAACATTTTTGAGAAAAAAAAAAACGAAACAAAACTTCGTACGAGCAATAATAAAGAATGATAAAAAAAAAAGGGCGTTGGCCACTAAATCACAACAAAACTACAAAGATAAAATACACAAAATGATAGCACAATACAGTGAGGCATAAGGCCGAATAATAATTACTTATACAAAACATTAAATAGGAAAAAAAAACAATACAGACACATAATTACGGTATAATTGATTATGGACTAAGAGGTGGATGGAGGGAACGGGAAAGATAACATTGGTTGTCGTCGCGCGAAGTCCCGTGCCACCACATATGGCGCGCTTTGGCGCGAACATCACTGCCCACTTTGAAAGAATCCCTTCAAGAGAGTGGAAGTGGGCAAAGCTTGACAGCTGGGCGTTTTAACTGTCCAGAAGTTGTGTCGACAGTGGCCACTCTGGAGATTCCGTCTAAACCAGGATGAAGATCACGAATTCTTCCAGTTCGCCAACTAAGAGGATGTGTTGCTTCTTTGATGAGAACAAGTTCACCAACCCGAAGATCTTGATTTGGTACAAACCATTTTTTCCGGACTTGAAGACTGCTAAGGTACTCGTTCTTCCATCGGGAACCAAAAATGTCGGTGTAAATCGGTTATTAATCGCCATCGTTGATACTTTGACATCGGGATTGCGGTTAGAGTTGGATCTGGTAAAGACGTTGAAGGCTCTAACGTCAAAAGATGACTAGGTGTCAAAGCCTCAAAGTCATTTGGGTCGTTGCTGAGTGCACATAATGGGCGAGAGTTTAAGGTGGCTTCAACTTGAGTGAGCAATGTCAGAAACTCCTCACTGGTTAGTTTGTGTGTACCGATTGATCGAAGAATTAGCGCTTTCGTGGATTTAACTCCAGCCTCCCACAGACCACCAAAATGTGGAGATGCTGGAGGATTGAAGTGCCACGTTATATGATGTTTGGCAAGGTGACGAAGGACACTATCTTGAAATGTTTGTGAATATGTTAGGTCATGAAGAGGGTCCATCAAACGTGACGCACCAATAAAATTGGTCCCACAATCGCTGTGCATTTCCTTAATAGGCCCACGTCTTGCCGAAAAACGAGTAAACGCCATTAAAAAACATTCTGTAGACAAGTCAGAGCTTAGTTCTAAATGGATTGCTTTGGTCGTAGTGCATACGAACAAACAGATGTACGCTAGACGTGGTACTGAGTTGCGATTACGAGGTTCCTTCAGCGAAACAGGACCCGCATAATCCACACCCGTGATGGAGAACGGTTTGACTTGTTGAACACGATAGCTTGGAAGACTGGCCATTTTCGGCTGAACGGAACGCGGTCTGATACGGAAACATGCGATCCATAGTCGTATGCGAGATCGAATAAGTTTCCGAGCAGACGGTATCCAGAACTCGCGCTGTAGATGAGCTTGGAGTGCTATGGATCCTGGGTGTTTCAGTCTATGGTGATGATGATCAATAAGTAACACAGTTAAGCGATGATGAAACGGCAACAGAAGTGGATGTTTGTGAGCATATGGCAAGTCAGCGTTCGTGAGACGTCCGCCCACTCGTAGAAGTCCTTGGTCATCAACGAAAGGGTCCAATCTTCTAATGGCGGGAGAACAACGTAATCCTTTTTTTATATTGGAAATTTCATGGGAGTATGACGTTTGTTGAACATAAAACACTAAAGCTGCTAAAGCATGGGTTCGTTCATTCGCGTCAATCAAGTGTGTGAATGGTGCTGACGGACGTGACTTAGATAGGCGAAGACAGTACGCTACGATTTGTAGAACCTTATTTAAGGACGAGAACCGATATAGAAGGTCAGTAATTGCGCAATTGGTCGTGGTTAGAAGGACAGTACATTTTCGTGACTCAATAGATGTATGATTATCTGTTGTAACTGAACTTGATACCGCAGAAGGCCAAGTATTAGACGACTCTAATAAATAAGCGGGTCCCGTCCACCACAGCGGATGAGCAGCAAGCTCGGATGGGAAAAGTCCGCGTGATGCACAATCAACCGGGTTTTGATGTGTAGGGACATGGTTCCAAATATCGGGTGACGTGAGCTCGTGAATTTGGCTAGTTCGATTAGCAACAAAAGTGACCCAGCGATGAGGAGACGACTGGATCCAAGCCAACGCGGTAGTTGAATCTGTCCAGGCATGGAGTGAATCAATAGTTATACGATCTGAGTAGGTATCGACGACGAACTGTAGGAGTTTGGCAGCTAGAACAGCTCCACATAGCTCAAGTCGTGGAATAGTAGACCTTTTAAGAGGTGCTACTTTCGATTTTCCTGTGACGAGGTGACAATAGACTGAGGTAAAAGTTTGCGTTCGGAGGTAGACGGCCGCTGCGTATCCTTTCTCCGAACTATCCGAGAAAGCATGAACTTGGATTGATGTGGTGTTTTCAAATGTGATTCGACGAGATATAGAGACGTTTTCAATTGACATTAGCTCTGATTGATAGCGTGTCCACATTACAGCAATATCCTTTGGTACTTGATCATCCCATTTGATTCCAGCGCCGCGTTCTTCCACCGGCTCGGGTATGTCCTCGTAGCCAGTGAGGTATTGAACGCAAACGTAATTTGGTTTTTGAGGATGGGCCACGCTTGCCGCAAGATTCCTGCCGTGATCCCGTCCAGGCCCGGGGCCTTGCATGTTTTCATCCGCCATAAGGCATCTCTTACCTCATCGACCATGCACGGTTCAACCGGGTCGAACGTCGGACTAAGCCCAGGTAATGCCGACTCGAACCTACCCACATAAACGCCGGTCTCTCTACGGGTTTCCGCCTGTCCTGCGGTGTCCGTAGCGTCGCTATCCTCAGGGACCAGTTGCTCGAGAAGCCTCTCACCGGTCTCCCTAAGCGAACACGTAAATGTTCCGTCCATTTTTCTGATGGACGCTGGTAATTTCTCCGAGGGCCGTGTTCCCCCGGACTTTAGCCATTTATAGACGGGTCTATAAGGTGCCGGTAGCGAAGGAGTGCCAGGCCGTCCGTCGTGCTCTGAAGCAGGCGCGGTTATATCTCCGCTTGAGGTCTGTGTACTTCCTCCTTATGGCTCTCTTTCTGAACGCGTTGCGTTCTGCGCGTAGTTTGAGCTTCCAGCGTCCCAATCGGGCGAGCTCGCTACCGATGTCCGAGCTCCACCAGAGAGGCGGTTTCAGCCGTCCGACCACGACCCGTTTCATGTGGGTATCACAAGCCGTTTGCAGCACTTCCGAGAGTGTGTTCACACAGGGATCTACGGCCGGGCGACCGAGCTCGGCTGACTGTGCTATCGTTAAACTTTTCAAGGTCTTACGAAATGATTTCTAATCAGTGTTTTTCCATAAATATCGTTTCCGTACGGCATTACCCGTGGACGGAAGGGCGTTCTGGCTGCACGCAAATTTAAAGCTGATCACGTTGTGATCGCTTGATGTCATTCCGGGTATGACCTTCCAGTCCGTCACCCTACGCTCCACCGAGGGCGACGCGAGTGTGACGTCCAGCTTGGCTGACATTCTATTCATGAAAGTTCTAGGTTGGTCTGGCTGGTTCAGCACGGACAGGCCCTTTTTACTTATCAATTCTACGATTACTTCGCCCCGGTCGTCCGAGACTTCATCGTGCCACACCGTCGACCGCCCGTTAACATCCGCACAGACAAGCACGGCGCCGCGGATCTGGTCCAGGATGGATCCGAGCGCGTTGGCGGTTGTCTGGGTGGGGTCAGAGAACTGGAAGTATGAAGATACTACCATCAAGCTGACTTGTCCCACCGTGAGCGTGGCCGCGGCCAAGTGGGGGGTACAGAGATGTCTAAGAGCGAGGGCTCCTATGGCCGGGTTCGCGACGACAACGGCAGCCTTCGGCCATCGCCCCGCCGCGATTACCCTAAGAGGGCCTGTCTAGTAGGTAGATCCCCGTACCATCTGTCGCAGGCTCTAGGATTAGCGCAACGTCTATGGCTAACTCTACCAGAAGTTTGTGTATCTGGTGCGTGGCCGCCTTTCCTCGGCCCGCGTTAATTTGAATAAAATTAATTATTAATTTTATTATATAATTTATTATTAATTAATTTTCTCCTCGGTCCTGTAGACCACCGCCGGGTGGGGCACGTATCCAACCCGGTGGCGCTTTCGGGGGGACCGTCTGCTCTCTGCGCTAGCTCCGGTTCGTTGGATGGACCGGCGTGTGTACGAAGAGGCCTTCCGGGTTACGCATATTATCGGCGACTACCAATTCGCCTAAGGTCGATTCTTGTGCGCAGTCTCTGGGCTCACTGTCCCTAGCTTTGACCACGCGGTACGGGCTTTTCGCCTTTTCTGTCGAGCTCTTCGTTTGTGGCGCCGGTGTCGCAGGTTTCTAATACCCTCAAATACTTTTACCTCCGGAGGTAAAATTATCCTAGGATAACTATACTGGGAGTAAAATTAACCTAGTATATTTTTACTGGGGGTACAATTTACCTAGTATATTTTTATCCCCCGGTAAAATTTTAAGGAGGTTTAAGTTATCCTAGGTTAATTGTACCCCCGGTAAAAATATACTAGGTTAATTTTACCTCCGGTAAAATTGTTCATTAGGGGGTAAAAATAAACTAGGATAACCCCCCGGTATAACGCTTCTAAAGGCGGTATAAATATACTAAGCATATATTTTACATATAATATTATTGGAAGGTACATGAAATTAAAATAAGTATACATAGATTTTACTCACCAGGTTAGGTTATACATAGGTAGGTACATAAATCATGTGGGAATTTTTGCGATAGTTATCATTATATTACTTATAATATAAGTTGTATCGTATATTTAGGTATTATGTATTGGTGTTGTTATAGTTACTTAAATAAATTGTACTGAAAATCAAATGTATTTATAACTTTATTTCTTTATTTAAAACCGTAAGTAAGCAATTAAAAAAAAAAAAAAAAACACAATTAAAATATTATAAAGTAAATAATAAAATAAAAATAAATATAAGTACCTACCAAGGAACTTATTGGTTTAACTATCTATATATCACAACTCTTATGATACATTAATTTTTAAATTATATAAAAACAAAACTTTTTCATTTATATCATATACAGTATAATATGATATACTTAAATACTTATTTAATAAGTGATGGATTAACATCTGCCACAACTGAATAATGGTTTCTATTTACGTGACACATGTGTAAACAATTTTCAGTTGCCCTAACTCCGTCTTTGTAGGTACCATTCTTACCAAATAACTGCCAAGATTTATAGTAATCTGAATAAATATAGATATTTGTATTTAACATTAATGCTGTTGCAAAAATTTCTACATCGGTAGTCCATGTCCCAATTACATTTAATGGGTTTATGTCCAAATACGATTCCATATCTCCAATATATGCTTTCAGTCGATTATCTGTCATAAAAAACTGTAAAAACCAATATTATTTTATGAGTGTACTAAGATTAGTACCTACCTACTTAATATTAAATTTTAAATAATTTTCTGATGATTTAAATAGTTAAATAATATATTACCTGATACAGTTTTTGTCGAACGGGGTTCATGGTGTTCTTCAGTTCCATTTATCCATACTGAATACACACCGCTACCAACAATTTCATTTTAAGACGTCGATTAATTTTTGGCGTGGTTAATGGTTTATTTGTTTAGAAACCTTGCATTTATGCTTGATAAATCAAGTTTAAAGCCTTAAAACTGGATTGGTTAACGTCCAATATTTTCTGATGGGCCGATACAATATTTTATAGGTATTCATAGGTTCGACATCTTGAGGAGATGAAATCAATTTAATTTCTGGTTCACTATTATAAAAATATGGCTTTCTTGTGAGTGTTCATAAAACTTTTATATTTTTAAATGTTGTTTGCTTTTAAAGAATCTCCTTCTTAAGGGTGCATGTATTTTGTCGAGATACTCAATAGTAAATGGCCAATCCATAGCTCAACTGACCACTTTGCTATCGTGAAATTTCTTCGTTATTATCCACATCAATAGGAAGAACTAGATTCTCGTTGATGAACATAAAAAGGGAATATTTTGTGGAGTGTGAATCAAGTTCTGTATGTGAAGAACACACCCTGCAAAATATCTGGCCACTTAAAAACATCATTCTGTTGTACCTGAAATAATAAATTTGACCATAAGTCCATTTATTATTTGTATAATTATAAAATTGTTAACCGAAAATTAGTTTAACTTAATTTTTAACTACCTTAGTGTAATAACTAGGTGAGGTAAATATGTAAATACAGATGGATTATTTTTACAAATATATTATTATGTTTTTCTTAAAAATCCCAATATTTTGCCACATCCGCAGAGGCCAGTTATTATTTGTTAGAGTGGTTATGGTCATTAAATAAATCAAATATCTAATTACTAATCATTAATCATAGTTAGGGATATACAAATATATTTGCAGTATTAATTATTAATCAAGAAACGGTCTTAATCTAGTTTTAGGCGTTCTACGAGGTACATTTGCTGACTGGATGTATGGCGACGTTACCTTGTTGTGTACGGTCTTTTAAAAATTCTTCCGAAAGCGATTTCGAACTTCTCATGATGATATGTTGTATTTCAATGTCATCCATGTCTACATATTTTCTCTATCATAATAAACTTTCGGCTGCAGATTCAGCGTTTTGTCAAGTCAAGATGGTCCTGCTAAATAACATAGCAACTGCCATACTCGAATTATTCACGGTAGCAAGTAATCAGGTCTACCAATTTGTTTAAAAATCTAGATTCTATAAAAATATTAAAATAGGATAAAATAAACACTAAAAATACATTGAAATATAGTTCTAGTTTAATTACTATAGCCAAACGGAACAGATTTTAATTCAGTATAAATTTGATGACCTTAGGTTACTTGTTGACCATTTTTGCATTGTTTTATATTCTTTATCATCTGTCACTTATTTGGCCAAAATCCTGATTTTAATAGTCTTTGAGTTGTATCTCTACCATGATCAGTGTTGTATAATGATAATTTTGTGTTAGATAAGATAAAAGATAATTAGTGGATAGTTTCTGGAAAGATAAAGATAAATAAATTGTATTACTAGATAAAGATAAAATTAGCATTTGTATCCAGATAAAAAGATAGAACATTTTTAAAGGTAGCTATTATTTATCCTGAAACTAAATTACATAAGTATATTATATAACAAATTTATTATATAACTTGTTTAAATATTATAACTAAATAAATATGAGTATGATATATTAATAAATAATATTAGTAAATCATTTTATCGTTTTATATGAACACATTTAAAATAAATTAAATTAAAAAGATTACTGTGAAGTCAAATGTTATTTTTTTAAGTGTAAACAATTATAATAATATTTAAATATTTAGTATTTAAAATTCCAGTAACAACATTGTAACGATTAAGTCAGCGGTTCCCAAACTTTTAAGTTCACGCCACCCTAAAATTAAAAATAATTGCGCCTCCATAAAATTAAATTACAAATTTATAGTATTTAATGTAACACTTTTATTTTATGAAAATATAAGTTAATAGTAAATATTATTAAACTTCAATTTAAGTATTACAAAATACAATGCGTATGAATATTTAAACTTAATGAACAATGTGCTTGTTTTCTGTTTAATAATTCTTCAAAATTAGGTAGCAATGTTGTGACAGCCACGCATTTCT